CCCTCTCCAAGGTCTCTGCTTTGGCCTTTTCTTTGCTCCTGTAGTTTTGACTTCTGCTTGAGAATCTATGCTACCCAGCACCACATCACCTGTTTCTTCTGCTGCAAACTCTGATGTCCTTCCCCCTTTGTGATTAATTTCCCTGTTTTCAGTCTTTGAATGCTGGCAGTCATGGAAGGTGTCCCTGCCCATGGCAGGGGGTTGGGACTGAGTGATCTTTAAGGTCCCTTCCAGCCCAATCCAGTCTGGGATTCTATTCCAGTTGGGCACTGACAGTGTCCCAGTCACACAGAATCACTGAGGCTGGAAAAGCCCTCCAAGATCATCGAGTCCAGCCTTTGGTCAATCCCCACCTTGTCCCCCAGCCCAGAGCACTGAGTGTCACATCCAGTCCTTCCTTAGACACCTCCCTGGGCAGCCCCTTCCAGTGCCTGACCACTCTTTCCATGAAGAAATTCTTCCAGGAAGAATCAGTTGAGCAGGTTCTTGGCTGATGTTCTGAGCCATAAAAGTCAAGGAAGAAACCTTTCCCTAATTCTCTTTGTTGTGACATGGGTTTTTTTAAGGCTTCCTCTCCCATCCTTGTGAAATGTAATGGCTCTAAGGCATCCAGTGGTTGCAGTGGGTGTGTTGGTGCACTTATTACACAGCAATTTCATTCTCTTTGGGGTGTTTTTGGAGTGTGTGGTTACATTTAATGTGTCATTATTGCATGCTGAGGATTCCTGCTGTATCCTTGTGGATCTCCTCAGTCCACCCAGGACCAAAGCTTAGAGATTTAATATTAACTGCAGTGGCCTGAGCTTGTTGAGACACAGTAATGTTATGTGTCACTTCGTGCTCCCTTCTCCCAAAGGTAGTTGAGCAGTTGGCTGTCTTGTTTGTTTGCTTGAAAACACAAAATTCCCAGCCTTGACAGCTTGCTTCAAACCTCTCAAAAACTTGGAAAGCAGCAGGAAAAAGAGCCTCCATTTCCCTCTCAGAAATAAACACGATTCCTTTGATGTCTTCACTTGGCATCCAGGCTTCTGTATCACTTACATGTGAAGTTGGCAGCTTTTTCCTTATACCAAGAGATGATGTAAATCTCCTGGCACAGTTTTGGGAGGAATCTGGGTTCATGGGAACTTGGATTTTTAAAAGCAGTCAAATGTGCTGCAGCCAACATGTATGTGCTTACCAGAGCTGTTAACCATCTTAAGCTGCCATCCCTCATTTCCCAAGGCCACCCTGATGGGCACAGCACACAGAGAAAACAGGTTTGGGGGTGAGATGAGTTCATTAATCAGAATATATGGGAGAATCTGGAGGGCAGATTTAATCATTGCAAAACACTTGTGTGTGTGGGAAAATGTGCTGATCTGAATTGCTCTGCTGTCACCTTGCCAGTGCTCCCCCTCCCTCAGATGCCCCCCTGGAATTCCACCACTGTGGGTGTCTCTGGGGTGGTGTTTCCCTGCGTGGATGATCCCTGGAGCACTGGAACGCAGCCCTAGGTTAGGTGTGTGTGCACAGTACGAGGTTTAGTGCCCTCCTTCTGTCAGAGGAAGACAAATTCTGGTACTGCTCCCTTTTCTATGAAGTCAGAGCAGCTTTTGGCTTCCTGGAAAGCCACCCTGCACAGGGACAGCGTGGGCTGCCACAGCCACCGAGTGACAGAGGGCACAGCTGGGGTTTGGCTGCTGCTCAGGGAAATAAATCAAGGGGATGAGGCTGGCAGCTCCAGCTGCAGGGGATGTGGCTTCAGCTCCTCCTTGGGCTCACTCTTATTGCCTGCAATAACTCCCTCCCAACATGGAAATGTGTGTGGCATTTCCCTGCAAAGGGATAATTCAGCCTCGGTGCATCTGTCAGGGAGCACCTGGGCAGGTGCAGCCCGAGCTGCTGCTGGGTCTGCTCCCTGTCACAGGGATGCTGACCTGGGCCCTGGAGCAGGCTGGGCCTGGGATGACCCTGCTCAGGGGGCAGCTTTGGTTTCTTAGGGCCTCATCCTGCCCGGTGCTGGGTGCTGAGCAGGGCATGGTTGGGCATTCCAGGGTAGAGCTGGTGGCAGGGCTGGGACAGTGACTGACTCACCTGCTCCAGCCTTGCTTCCCTGGCAGTTTAAGACCTAAAATGAATGAAGTGAGGGTGGGGGAAGGCAGGGCAAGCAGGGGCACCCCCTGGCAGGAACTGGGAGCAGGTGAGTCAGCTGGACATCAGCCTTATCTCTGCTTCACAAATTTAGGGATGGAGGGACCCACTCGTGCAGTTACTCAGTGCTCACTCAGGGTCTGCAGAGACCACTGAGGGGTCTCAGGGAGGGCTGTGCAGCCAGGGCAGGGCACCATGATCTTAGAGGTCTTTTCCAGCATTAATGATCCCATGATTCTGTGGTCCTGAAGTGGTGCAGGATCCTCCAGCCAGCCTGGCTCACCCTGGGCTGGGTTTGTGCAGCTGAGCAGCCCCAGACTTCTCAGCAGAACCAGACTGAGCCAGGGCCTTGCTCATCTCTGAGCCTGGTGCCACCTCCCCCCACTGCTCCCAGCACCTCAGGGTGGGTTGATTAGCAACTGGGGCTTTGTAGCAGGAAAGAGATTTCCCTGCCCAGCCCTCTCCATCCCTCCCCGTTCCTGTTTTACTGGCTTTGCAGGTTTTCTGCTCACAGCCCTGTCCTTGCCAGGCTCTTGGCTCACCCTGGCTGGGGGAGGAGCAGCCAGGCCCTGCTCACCCACCACGGGGATGGGAAGGGACAGGAACAGAGGTTTGGATCTCTCCCAAAAGCAGGGTGAGCTGAACCTGCTGAGTTCTGTTTTGTGGGAAGTCGGGCCAGAGGCAGAGTAAGATGAGCAGCATCTTTGACTCTGCAGGGCTTCAGGTGCAAGGGTGGAGAGATGTGTGGGGAGTCTGGGCTTAGATGAGTCTCTGCCTCGTTCTGGCCCTGGCTGAGAGAAGAAGCTGCGGGAAGGGCTGTGCTGGCACCCCTGGGAGCAGACGTGTCCCCAGCAGTGATGTGTGAGCAGAGAGTGGTTGTGGTTGTGTTTCTGATGGCCATAACTGCTTCATGTGTGTGTTTCAGGTGAGGGCTACCAACTCTGTGCTCACAGTGTGGCTTCTCTTGCAGGCTCACAGGAGATTCACATCGATGAGAGAACGCTCAGCCCCCACCTCAGCCTGTCGGAAGACAAGAGAACGCTGACCTTCAGCCCCAAGAAAGCCAAGGCGGACTTGGACTGCCCTGAGCGGTTTGACCACTGGCCCAACGCCTTGGCCACTGCAGCGTTCCACTCGGGGCTGTGTGCCTGGAAGGTGGGCGTGGAGCAGAGCTGTGCCTACAAGCTGGGGGTTTGCTACAGCTCCGTGCCCAGGAAGGGCTCTGCCAACGAGGGCCGCCTGGGATTCAACGCCGTCTCCTGGGTGTTCTCGCGCTACGACCGGGAATTCCGGTTCCTGCATGCGGGGCAGCCCCAGCCCGTGGAGCTCATCAAGGCCCCGGCCCAGATCGGGGTGCTGGTTGACTTTGGGGCGGGAGAGGTGCTTTTCTACGACCCCGACTCCTGCACCATCCTCTTCTCCCACAGGGAGACCTTCACTGAGCCCGTCTACCCCGTGTTTGCTGTGGCACACCAGAGCATCTCACTGCTCCAGTGAGCAGGGCCTGAGCGTGACTGGGAGAGCTCTGCACTGTGCCCTGGAGGGAAAGGAGCCCTGGCAGGGCTGTGGGCTGTGTCCAGTGTTCAGACAACACCTGCCTTCACACTACAGCTGTTCTTCACGTGTTTTACAGCAGCTCTCCTCTCCTCCTGTGTCTGCTGTGCTGGGATGAGGGGTCAGGGAATGCCTGGCTGGGCCAACTGCTCTTGGGTGGATTGTTTAATTTCTGCTGTGAAAAATGGGCCAAACAGTAAGTGGTGTGTATGGAGAAATGGCAGGGAGAAGGCACACGAAAGGAAAGGGAAAGAACAGCTCTACAAGTCCCTGACAGGAGGGTGGAGCCAGGTGGGGGTTGGTCTCTTCTCCCAGGTAACAAGTGACAGGACAAGAGGAAACAGCATCAAAATACTCTCAGAAGGTTCAGGCTGGGTATTAAGGGAAAATTTCTTCACTGAAAGCGTGGTCAGGCATTGGCACAGCTGCCCAGGGCAGTGGTGGAGTCACCAGCCTTGGAGGGGCTTAAAAGACGTGTGGATGTGGCACTTGGGGACATGAGTAAGTGGTGGCCTGGGCAGTGCTGGAGGAATGGTTGGACTTGGTCCTAAAGGTCTTTCCAACCTAAATTATTTTGTGATTGTCTGACTGGGACACAGCTGGACACACACTTTTTGGGGGAGCTGTCCCTCTGCAGAGCTGGGCAGTGCAGGGAGTTGTCCCATGCTGGAGGCTGTGGCTCCTGTCCAAGCAGGGGAGCAAGCAAAGAGCAGCAGAAAGAAACCAAACCTGAGTGTCACCAAAGGGAGTGGGGGTTGAGTGTAACGTGGTGCAGACACAGGGAGCTGATGGAGGGCAGGGAGGAAGGACAGGTGTTGGCCTGGAGTTGAGCCAGGGAGCACGGGCAGGAAAGGAGTTTAAAATGGTCATCTTTATTTCTCACTACCCAGATCAGTGAAGTTTGTTAATTGGCAATTTGTTAAGTGAAGTTGCCCAACTTGAGACTGTTCAGTCTACAGAGACCAGGAGCCACCTCCTGGCCACTGCTGTTGGGAAGAAGGGGATGCAAAGCTGGGGTACACTGAGGCATGCAGGGCCTGTGCAGGGGTGTCCCAAGTGCTCCCTTTGAGGAGATCTTCCCTAGGATGGGAAGACCTTCCCTGGGACTGAACCAGCACTTGCACTGGGGGATTCTCGACCCTCTCCCCAGGGTGACTGAGAAGGGATAAACCTCAGTGTCTCCCTCCCTCTCACCCGCCAGAACGAGCCTCTGGAGCGTGACCCACTCCCAGCCCCGTTAGGGGAAGACAGCACTACTGACACCCCCCCTTCTGGAGGTTTTTAGAGCCGTGAAACAAAGCAGCAGCACCACCGGCTGTCAGATATGTTTTATTGCAGGAACATCCCTCCTGCTCCGAAGGCAGCGCTGCTCCCTGTGCTCGATCCGCTCGCTGCTGTTCCCTGTCCCCCTGGCAACAGGGAAACCCCACCAGGACCGGTTCAGCACCCGACAGCAGCGCTGGGCTCCTCCAAACCGCAGCTATCCCTTCTCGATCCGGGCCAGGAGGTGGCTGAGGGTGGGCAGGACGTGCTCGGGGGGCACCTCGGGCTCCGGGCCCTGGCCGGCCGTGCGGAGCAGGAAGCTGTGCATGCCCACGGCGCGGGCTGCCCGGTAATCCCGCGTGTAATCATCCCCGACGTGGGCCGCCTGCTCCGGGGGGACGCCCCCGAGCCGCAGGGCCTCCTCGAAGATCCTCGCGTCGGGCTTGGCGACCCCCGCGGCCTCGGAGGTGAGCACGAACTCGAAGTGGTGCCGCAGGCTGCACTGAGAGAGGATGTTTTCCAGCCGGTTGTCGAAGTTGGACACGACGCCCATGCGGAAGCCGCGCTGGCGGCACCGGTTCAGGGTCTCCTCGGCCCCCGGCAGCACCTCCCAGTTGTGGGAGCTGCAGTAGTCACGGTACAGCTTCTCGGCCAGCGCCGTCAGGGCTGCGCCGTCCTGCACCCCCGAGAGCACGAAGGCCTGCTTGACCACGTCCACCCACCACTGCCGGGAGCTGAGCCCCTGCCCCCGGCCGTAGTTGGGGAAGCGGCGGCTCTGGGCCCCGTAGGCCTCCCGGAACGCCCGTCCCAGAGCCTCGGGCTGCACCCGCAGCCCCTGCGCCCGCGCCTCGGCCGCGTAGCTCTGCCCCACGGGCCGCCGCAGCCGCAGCAGAGTGTCCTTCACATCCCAGGTCAGCAGGCGCAGCCGGAGCATGGCCTCGGGGACAAGGGCAGCCAGGGACACAGGTGAGAGCCAGGCGCTCTGAGGGCGAGTCAGTGCCGGTCACATCGGAGGGGTGCGGGCACCCCTGCCCTCCGTCCGCCTCAGTCCCGGGGTCAGTGTCCCTCGAGGGGGGCTCAGGGCCCCGCTGGGGTCCGCACGGACACGGCAGGGAGGCAAAGCCCTGCTGCGAGCGCCAGGGGCAAAGTCCTCCAGGCCGGGCAGCGACACTAACCCCGCGGGCGCTGCAGCCGGGGCGGGCGGGGGCACCGGGGCTGGGGGGACGGGGCACAGCAGGCACCGCAGCGGGGGTATGCGGGTGGGTGTGAGGGGCACACGCGGGGCTGGGCCCGGGGTCGGTGAACGAGGTGTCCCCGTGGAAGGCGGGTGCGGGGTCCTGGTGTCCCCCGGGGGGTGCGGGGCGGGCCCGGGGCTCACCGGGCTCCGAGGGCCGGGAGTACTCGCGGTGCCGGAGCCCACCTGCACCGCCCCCCGGAAATCCCGCCCATCCCGGAATTCCCGCCCATCCCGGCGCTCCCGCCCATCCCGGCGCTCTCCCCTCTCCGCCCCAGCCCCGCGCTCAGGCCCGTCCCGCCGCCTCCTCCCGCAGCCAGCGCAGCAGCTGCGGCGCGAAGTAGGTGATGATGATGTCGGCCCCTGCGGAGAGACGAGAGGCTGCAGCCGGCCCGGGCACACGCGGGGAACGCGCGGGGGGCACGGGGGTCGCAGCCTCACCTGCCCGCCTGAAGGCCGTCATCGCCTCCCGCACCGCCGCCTCCAGCGCGAAGGCTCCCGCCTGCGCCCCGTGCCACAGCATAGCGAACTCCCCCGAGACGTGGTACACGGCCAGCGGGTGCGTGGGGTGCTGCGGGAACACGGTCAGCCCCGCGTGTGCCGTGCCGGCCCCGCACAGCCCCGCACATCAGACACACAGCCACAGCCCCCCCGTGCCCTCCCTGCCAGGCAGGAGCTCACCCGGGCCTTGACATCCCGCACGAGGTCCAGGTAGGGCATCCCCGGCTTCACCATCAGCATGTCCGCTCCCTCCCGCACGTCCCGGTCCTGCACGGGAACACGGCACACGGGGGACAAGGAAAGAGTTTGCAGCGAGGCCCGGGTTGGCTTCCAGGATGGTTGCTGAGCCCCTCCTGGCCACAGGAGCCCAACTGTGGGCTGGCACTCCCCTCACACACACAGTGCCTGGGCAGTGCGGGTGGCTGCGTGTCCCTGGACCTGATGCCCCAGCACAGGGGCACCAGCTCTGCAGCTCCCACTGCCCAGTCCTCGAGCACACACTGGCACCAGCTCTGGCAGGCTGATGGACCTCATGTTTTGTTATCTCATGGAAAGGGAAGACCCTTTAGGCTGGTTTGCCTCCCACCCCCTTTTGACTCTCTCGCTCTCCCCAAGCCCTGGGATGATCACCTGGGTCCCACTGAGGGTGTCCGGCCCCACAGCCACAACCCCACATGTGCCCCACTGAGGGTGTCCGGCCCCACAGCCACAACCCCACATGTGCCCCAGTGGGGGTGTCCAGCCCCCGTGCCCCCCGCACTCACCACGGCGCGCTCGGCCAGGCCCCGGGCGCCGGGGGGCAGTTGGTAACACCTCCGGTCACCGAAGGCGGGTTTGGAGAGCGCGGCGTCCCTGGAGAGGAGCAGGGCAGGGGGCAGGGGGTGAGGACCCCTGTGCCTCCCACCTCGTACAGCTTTAGGAACGGGAGGCCAGATGAGTCAGGAAAATGGGGCACTCTGAGCCACCTCAGCACCCCAGGATGGCTCTGGGAGGTCCTGCAGGCCCAGGCTGGCCCTGAGAGCTGTTTCAACACCCACGGCCTTCCCCGTGCCCAGAGTCTGGGTAAAATCGTGTCAGACTCTTTTCCAAGGCAGGTTCCTCAGGGACACCCTGCCAGGGTCAGGCTGTTCTTGGGACAAGGTCCAACAGCTGACTAAGCTGAAGCTTGTCCCTGTAGCCACCCTTTGCGATAACACTGACTCCTGTGGCTCCCTCCCTGTTCCTGGACGTGTCAGGCAGCTCCCTCTCTGCCTGCCTTGCCAGCAGCACTGTAGAGGAGCAGGTGAAGAGGTAAAGGATGGAAGATCACTTGGACAAAGTACAATTGTCTCCTTTTTGCACAGAGGAGTAGGAGGAAGGTGCTGCTGAGTGACCAGTGTGGCCCCACCTGCAGCCCAGGCTCTGGCCAAGCTCCCTTCCCAAACAACTATCTGGGAACAAACTCCCAGCCAGCCTGGCACGGGCTGGGCACACCTGGCAGAGGGACAGACCCACCTGAAGGGTCCATAGAAGCAGGAAGCAAACTTGGCACTGTAGCTCATCACCGAGACCTGTGGAGCAGAGCGGGGCCGTGAGGGCCTGGAGCTCGGAGCCACATCCAGAGATTCCCTCCCACGGCTGTTTTATCCTCCCCTCCCAGAGGCCTGGCACCTGCTGTTCCCATGGACACTCCTGCAGTGCTGCAGCTCCCCTGGCAGTGGCTCCTGCCCCGGGCACACTCAGGTGCCCAGCTCACCTTGTTGCCCAGGTCGTTGGAGATCAGCGCCTGCTTTATGGCCCCAATGCGCCCGTCCATCATGTCCGAGGGGGCCACGATGTGGCAGCCTGCAGGGAAGGACAGGGGTGCAGGGAGGGACAGGGGTGCAGGGAGGGACAGGGGTGCAGGGAAGGACAGGGGTGCAGGGAGGGACAGGGGTGCAGGGAAACACCAGAAGTTTTGGCTCTGCCAAAAGGTTCCAGTGCTGGCAGCACTGCCGGGACCAGCGCAGGGAGGGCAGGGGAGCAGTCCCAGTTAGAGCCAGGCCCAGGATGCTTTTGGGTCTGCTCAGAGCAGGAGCAGGGCAGTGATTCTGCCCCTGTGCTGGGCACTGGGGAGGCCACACCTCGAGTGCTGTGCCCAGTTCTGGCCCCTCAGCTCAGGAAGGACATGGAGGGGCTGCAGCAGGTCCAGAGAAGGGCAACGAGGCTGGGGAAGGGTCTGGAGCACAAGTGCTGGGAGGAGCAGCTGAGGGAGCTGGGGGGGCCTCAGCCTGGACAGGAGGAGGCTCAGGGGGGACCTTCTCACTCTCTGCAACCCCCTGACAGGAGGGGGAGCCGGGGGGGGTCGGGCTCTGCTCCCAGGAACCAGCAGCAGGACAAGAGGGCCCAGCCTTGAGCTGCCCCAGGGGAGGTTTGGGTTGGCCATTGGGAAGAAGTTCTTTGCAGAGAGAGGGCTCAGCCATTGGAATGGGCTGCCCAGGGAGGGGGTGGAGTCCCCGTGCCTGGAGGGGTTTGAGCAGAGCCTGGATGTGGCATCAGTGCCATGGGCTGGGTGACAAGGTGGGGTTGGGGTTGCACTCGATGGTCTCAGAGCTCTTTTCCAACCTCACTGACTGTGTGTGTGAAGTGAGAGAGGGGCAAGCAGAGTGCAGCTGGGGTGTCACTGCCCGGGGCTCCCACCTGCTTTGGCGTAGGCCAGCGCCACCTCTGCCAGCCGCTGGCAGCTGAGCTCGTTCTGGATGGTGCCGTCCTCCCGCAGGATACCTGGAGACAAACCCGGGCTTACCCCAGGGCAGGGCCAGCAGGTGCTCAGTCCCCAGGGGAGTGTGGCCCTGGGGACAAGCTGTGGAGATGCCCAGAGTGGCAGTGAGGAATGTGTTCAGGGAGCTGGGTAAGGAGTCCTCCAGGCTGTGAGTGCTCCAGGGAAGGGAAGACAGAGATGGGGCTCACACAGACTCAGATGGCCACAGTGAGGGCCTGAACCACCCGTGCCTCCCACCCTACTGTCAAAACCCAGGAGAGGCCTCCCAGCTTTCTACACCAGGAATGGGAAGCCAGGTCTAGGGGCAGGAGCTGGCCAGGCCCCACCAGCACACAGGGCCCCTCAGCAGAAAATGGCAAATCCTGGAGACTCCCAGAGCCAGGAAAACACCAGGAGTGCAGGCCAGGCCCACGGGCCGTGCTCACCGCAGTGCCCGTGCGAGGTGTAAGGGCACAAGCAAACATCACAGGCAATGAGCAGCTCTGGGAAGGTGTAGCGGATCCTCCTGATGGCCATGATGGCAGGAGTGCCCTCGGCATCGGCAGCAGAGCCTCTCTCATCCTGTAGGGACACAAACACCTCAGCACACACAGCCCACACTTCCCTCTGTGGCAGCAGCTCTGCCCAGGAAACATCTCCTGGGCTGTGGGACCCTCTAAGGCAGGATGGTGTAACCACCACTGAGGGAAAACGGTGATGGAGAAGCACTTCTGGGCAGTGAGTGCAGGTCCTGGGGCCACCTGCAGAGCTCTGGGGGCTTTTTTGGGTGTCACTGCAGTCTCCCATCCCCATGTGCTCTGCTGAGTGGGCTGTAAGTTCAGCCAGAGACCCTGTGATCAGCCCCACACTGCTCTCCCACAGCTCTGTGGCTGCCCTAAGCCCCCCTCACCACCAGGCACTGACCTTGTGGACCTTGCTGGGCACCCCGAAGATGAGCACACACTTGAGGCCGTCTTGGACGAGGGGCTGCAGCATCTCGCTGAGCTTGTTCACTCCATACCTGAGCAGGGCAAAGGGAAGGGAGCTGCCAGGCACCCACACCTGCTCCTGGGAAGAGCTGCCTGTGCCTGGGATGCTGGCCTGGGAGCAATCCAGCATCACCAGGCAGCAGCTGCAGGTACAGGGGAGGTGTTGCCTGAACACTGGGAGGAACAATCTGGGCCCTTATCTGGGGCCCAGCATGGACACTGCTCTGAAAGGAGAAGCGTGCCCTGCCCTTGGATTCCTTATCTCGGCCTCCCTGTTGCAGATCCAGCCCACCCCCCTGGGCCTCTCTGAGCAGAGCCCTGCTAATGTGGCAGCAGATGGAGACAGGAGCTGCCAGTCCAGCAGGATCCAGAGCAGGAGCACAGCCCATATCCTTGCACAGGTTTTGTGGCTGCTGCTGGAAACCCCATTTGCTTCCAACCCACACAACGTGTGAGTGCTCTGGGACAGCCTGAGCCCCTGGTGCTGCCCTCCCAG